TTTCAGTTCGTTCACATGGTTGTCCATTAACATCCTGATTAGCCTGAGATTAGTGATTCCTCAAAAGTCAATCTATGACATTGCGTCAGGGTGAAGATGTAAACCTGGAACTTACCCTATTCTAATTTAGCTGCTGTCACAGGGTGTGAACCTGGGCTACACTCCCAATGCCAGCTGGGATCCCTATCCCACTAAACTTTTCAAAACATTATGTTAATGTAAAATAAAATAAAATTAAGCCACAGAATTATATTTAGTTGCAGCAATGTTTTGGACTATACAAAATATTTTTAGGCTTGTTGAGAGCATCCTAATAGCTTGCATTTTGATAAATGGGGTTTGTGGTATTAAACTATGCTCATTGTAACAGCTGTTTTCAGAAAAGGCAAATCTCTCAAGACAGTCATTTTGTGAATGTGCCCATGCTCTGAACATTTCAAAAAAGCTTCTAGCTTAAAATGGCTGCCCATTGGGGCTTATGTTACTGCATTAAAACATCAATAACTTAATGCAAATGGGCTGACATAATTTCTCAACCAAGGGAATAGACATTTCACGCAGGGGAAGAAGGCTTAGTAACATTACATCAATAAAATGGCCAGGCACTGGGTTTTTTTGTTGTTGTGCTTTTACAAATTTATTAAATAAATAATATAGCTTACATAGTTATTAAATGCTTTTTGCTGACAGTGGCACAATGTATAACAGTTCTGGTGATCACGAGTGATTAATTCAAAAGTTGTGTTTGCCAACAAGCTATCTATCCTTACCCTTAATCAAAAGATTGAAATATCAAAGATACATTTTTAGGAAAGAAAGCATTTTTTATATCTATCATTTCAAGTTCATATTATAAACTCATTGTAAGTAAACTTTACTAAAACTCCCTTTTTATGATCCAATAAATCTTTAATTTGGGGTAGAGTTGAGGCGACTGAATGGAGCTGAGCATTTACTGGCCAGATTCCCTTCCTGACTCCACATGGAGTTCGCAGCAGATATTTTTTGTTTGTGCCCTGAGAGAGAAACCCCTGCTAGGATTGAATTCTCAACCTTCCGAGTGGGAAGCAAGCATCTTCAGCACAAGGCCACTTGTAGTAAGTTGACTTTACTGATCTATTAAAATGATTTTTAAAAACCATTTTAAAAACTCTTCACAAGTTGCAACTCTGAATGGGGTACTTGATGAAAAAAAAAAGATAATTTTAAAAATGCAATACAGAGCCAAAATAGTAAAACACAACCAACACCGAGATGAAGTCAGGTGTAGCAAATATCTAAAATCTGGATCCAATGCACAGGAAAAACCCAGATCTTCACAGCTTTATGAAAAACTGATAATGAATATTTTAAAATGAAAATAGCCATAATTAATAATAATAATACCATCCAGATATTCCCTCAGTATTTTTATTTGTAAATTTCCTATGAAGATTAAAATTATAAAGATATATTAGTTTTTGTTATCTATTAAAGCATTATGACAATGTTTCAATATAGTCCTGTACAATTTGTTTTCTATGATTTTTATAGTAAAAAGGTATATTCATCAAATTGTCTTAAATATTCAATTTTTAGACCAATTTAAGTTTTAGAATTTGTCCAATCCACATAATCTAGAACAGCCCTTGAATCATTTGGAAATTCTACAAAATTCACTGAGCAAGAACATATCAATAAACTTTCAACATTGTTTCTGAGGGAAGGTGGAGTAATTTGAAAAAAAAAAAATCCTTTTCCCATCATGATATCAGATATTAGAAAGTGTTGCAAATTCTCTACAGTTAAATATAAACACTTCACTATACGCAAATAGAAAATTTATTCTTTTATTGCATTATTGAATCAACTTAAAAAGTCCCCAGAAAAGAAAATGGTCCTTTTTTATATTCTCCATATATATCTCTTATTTGGTATTTTAAAAAAAAAGAATGCCAGGAACACAAATATATGCACAGAGGCCAGACCACACAATCAACGTTGCAAATTACAGGTCTTTATTAAAATGCATGGAATGTAATTATTTTCAAATGCATGTTTGGAAAACAATAGGTGAGAATACACAATTCAACATGAAGATTTTGAAAGGGGTTCCTTTACTCCCTTCTAAAACTTGTTGGGACTCTATAGCTTCCTTACTTAGATTAATTGCAACACTGGATCTTAAAAGCATCCAGTTTTGATTACTTGGCTTGAGTTATTAAATTCTACAACAGAATGAAGGCTGTTTATCATAAAGATCAGGTGACAACTAAAATATTGATGAAAAACTATAATTGCCTTTAAAAGACAAAAAGACCTTCTAATTTCAGAAGCAGGCATGGATATTTTAGATAACTGCAATGCACCCATATTTTAGAAGATTATAATCTTCCTAGATTACAGTACACCTGAGTGGAACATTTCTTAATCAAATTTTTCAATTCAAAGCCATTTAAGATCATTTATAAAACTTCATAAAGTTGTCTGAGCACTTTTGCCAAATAATTTTAGCCTGGACAGAAATTATTCTCCATCACTTTTATTTACACTAGCTAAAACAATACCTTAGCTGTGAGTGGAAAAAACAATAACTATTATCAATTATGTAACTTACACTGGCAGTGCAATCTAGCACAGTTCTACTGTTGATTGTATTTCTCACATAGTGATGTCAGAAGAACCCAACTGAAGTATGACCTTCAGCCAATAAACTATAATAAACATTTGTAAGGTGATTCAATGGGAAAACTTTCAACATTCAGACATGGGGCAGGGGAAGGAGGCAAGAGACATAACTATATGACTCTGTGAAGAACAAGGAGTGTAGAAATGTTAGTGCATTAAAAATAGACAGGTTAGATCAAAGAGTCAGTGAATAAGTTAAGATATATTTAATTACAATATTGGCTGTTTTCATTTATAATCAACCTAATGTACATATATTCTCTTTATTATTTTCACATATTCCAAGAATTCAACTTTCTCTCTCACAGTGATTTACAAACCAATATGGCACTTTCTAGAAGATTATCATGGGCTGAAGGCTCTATAGCAACAATCACTATTTTTGAAAAAAGAAAAGAAAAAGAAAATGATTCAAATGAATTTCTTTCCTGAGCAACTTAAAATTTGGAATGTGCTGAAAAGTCACAATAAATAAGTAAAAACAAATGAACAAACTTAAAATGTGCTTTTAAATTATTGAAACTAGATTGTTTTATGACAGATATATGGTCTGTTCTTTCAGAAATCTTAAAAGCTTATGTGCCAAATAAATTTATGAAGTACCTTTCTGGAAATAGAATAGAAGTCAAGTTGCTTATATAAAAATATACAACATTAACATCTAGCAAATAAATCAACTGGCAGCTCTTGCTTTTAACATTTCAAAGTGTTCGTGGCAAAGAATAATATTAAATAGCATGATAAAAATAGATTCTAGTGAAATTGCAGAGAAAGCAAACATGTTAAGTAACCCAGGATTCTTGTAGCACACACAAATTTTAACTTTTTTTTAAACATTCCAGCATCTGAATATTAAATTGCTCCCCAAAAGAAAACAATTCCACAGTGTGTAAACTAATCATTACTCTTTAAATGTAATTTCATAGAAACCACTTAATATACAATGCAGCATTTTGGTTAATTATTGTTTTGAGTTCCCAGTGTGTTCCTTCAGAGTAGTGCACTGGAACCACCTAGTGAGATTTTTTTTATTCATGTAAGTGTGCAGCCACAACACATTTTTGTGTGTTCAAATCCTGCTAGTAGCCTTGTAAAAAAAACAGAATGCAACAGATATCCATCAGCTCTGAAAAGGGAATTTGTTAAATGGGAGTTGACTAATACACACCAAAACAAGAACCAGTAGCTTGGATAAACAGAACACGCAGCCATCTGTTACCACTTTGTTCTTTCAAGTGGTAATTTTTGATTATCATAAATGTTGACTATTGCAGCCAGAGTACAATTTGAGTATGCTGTTAAAGAGTATCTGCTCCTTAGCTACATGCAAGAGTTAGGCTTTGACTTCTATGAGAGAGAAAAAGAACTGATGACATCTGAAGGGATCACAGCATATTCTTCTTCAATCTTGTTTCTTAGAACGTATCAGATTTTCAGAGTAGCTGAGGCGTATTCATTATAAATTTCTACCTTCAGAAATAATGTCTTGAAATTAGAACCAATTAATTTAATCAATAACTAATGCATTTACAATGTTACAGAAATGTAACATCCCATCAATTTCTTATTCCCCTATTTTTATGGATATTTGCTGATTGTCAAAACTACTACAGAAAAAGGGATCTCCTTTAAAATAAAAAAGACAATCCCAAATTTCCCCCTGCAGCCTAACTTTAATTTCCATTAATATTATCCTCTTCAGTTTTATTCAACCTCAGCACTGTATTGATATTTAATGATACCCACCTTCTCAAATTCCCAACATGCTACAACTCTCCTTGCTGCCAGCCAGTTACTGGCAACACAGATCTAAGTGAGAATCACTGAAGTTGTAGTCCAACAGTCTAGAGCATGCTAGTCTGTGGAAAACTCATCATCTAGGTTTCTCCATATTCCTATTTTGACTGTTGGTAACAGCCTGGTTGCCTCTTTTCAAATGGTATTAGTAGCAATGGGTAGTTTTGTTATTTCAGGACAACAGCACCCCTTATCCAGGCAATGACAAATCTCTTATATCATGCTATTATTTCAATGTGCTCAAATAAAACTGTAATAGGTTAAATTAAATGCTACATCAGACAAGCTAATTTTGTGAAAATTGCAAATGACCAACAAGGTAATATCATCTTGTAAAGTACCATATACGAAAATATTTTACAACATCAATGTTACTTCTAATGAAACAAGAGATGATATATTTAAAAGTATATTCTAACTACAATAATTCTATGGAGCCAAGGAAACAAACAAACAAAATATTTCAACAAATACACCTTTTCAGAAAGGGATCTATCAGTTCAAAGTAAGGGAAATGTCTTTTTAAATGCTGCTTTTGTATTAACTCACTTTCTTCAGATTGTTATTAGCATTTTAAAAACAATTTTGAATCCATCTTGCATCACCTTTTATAAATATCTTCTAACCACTTTTCATCATCTTGTTCCTCATCTTCTGTTATTGGCTCTTCAGTTTCTAGAGGAGAAGGAATGGCAAACTCTGGCCTAGGAGAAGAGTTACCATTTGAGGATCTTAATCCAAACTTGCGTTTTAGCAGGTGGAACTGCTCTTTGACATAGTAGTAGAATTCATATTCATATCTCATGCGCTGGTACAAGATCTGGATGGATTCTGTTGAAGGGACAGTTTTTTTCACTGTCACAGTTAGATTGCCAAGCTTCCTATGCTCTGTAAGACAATGGAAATAAAGAAGAATTTATGTCAAGACAATCACTTTCATTATTTTCTGAATTACTAACATGCCCTCTGCTATAACATGACCCCTGGAAGAAAATAAGCCTGCAAATATCTCAAAACTGAAACATGGGCGTTATTTTTTATTATTATATCATTTTTTTTAAAAATTTTTATTTATCATAGTCTAAGCTAAACATTGCAGCAAGGTTCTGAATAAGAGATAGTATTTGCAAAATTCTAACCTAAATAGAATTTGGAGATTTAATTGGGACTCTAGAATTTTCATAATGAATAAATCCAACAGAAAACTCAAATTATGTCAATGAGATTACAAAGACCAAAAGTAATCAAGGTTAAACAGAATAGATGGATAGACAATAGATAGAGATGGATGGATGGAAAGACAGACAGACAGACTAAAAAGTTCGTAACAATTTAAATCCCACAATGTCATTTGTCAGAAATGGTGTAGGGTAGGGTCTCCTGCTTGCGCGGGGGTGGGTGGGGGTTGAACTAGATTATAAATTACAGTTGAGGTAGCTGTTGCAACCTTTTTTTATGACAATCATAAAGCGAGTCAAATGAACCGCTTAGTCTTTAAACTAACCCAGCATACGCAATGGGCATTTTTGCCATTTTCTGCTAGAAAACTACAAAAGAGGCACAAATTGCCTTTACATCAGGGGTCCCCAACCTGTGGATTGCAGCCAGGTGCCGGGCCTTAGCCCATTCAGAACTAGCCACAGAAGTGGTGTGTGAGTATGTGTGTGTGTGTGCATGTGCATGGGAAACTGCATTTGTGAAAGTGGTGCACCATCCACTTTCCTCCCTGCCACTGTCACCGATCTGCCACGCTGGAAAGGTTGCAGACTGCTGGTTTACATGACTGTGGGATGCTGCAATTGGTTGTAAATACAAGCTGGTTGCCAAGCACCAAAATGCGACCATGTGACTGTTGTGGATGTTGACACAGTGCAACGTTTTATGATAGTCAGCAATGCTTTACAGGCCATAAAACACCTTTTTCAAGGCCATTGTAACTTCAACTGGTCAATAAGCAGCCGTTTAAGGGAAAACTCCCCAATAAACAAATGGAGAGAAATTATTTTAATCAACTAAATTGTCTTATTTTTTGTCATGTCCCTGTCCAGTTTTGAAATATGACTCCTTGCATTCCTACCTCTTCTGCATTCCTACCTTAAATCCAAGACCATGACTCAACGGTTTTGGAACATTATGTTTATATTACAGATAACAAGAACATTTTTTTTTTGTGGGATGGCAAGATGAAGGATTCAATCTTTCAAACCTCATTTCCTCCAGCACTAAATCCTTGCAAGCGGCCTCTACACAAAGACAGAAATACTAGGAATATATCACCCTCTGTATCATCCTTTGAAGGACAAGCTGTAAGTTACAGTTTTATTCACTGCTATCGTTTCTAAATATCAACTGCTGAAGCAACACTTACCTGGAACTATTATGTGAAAGATAGATTTCAGAAGATAAATTCCAGTTTTTCCTCCCTGACCATATGTGTATTGGAACTGGGGAAGTGGCATTGAAAAGAAATTAACCTACTGGCTAGTTATCTGAGACTCTACTTGTTCTGACCCAAATCTTGTTCCAAGGAAACAAACACAAAACAGAGGTAACAGAAAAAACTTTTAACAAATAAATGCTCAACAAATAAATGCTCTGTTCAACAAATAAATGCTCTGTCTTACATATTGGCAAAAAAAATCAGAAAATAAAATACAAGCTGAATAGTCAAGATCTTGTTGATGACCCAAGCTCTGTAAAGGACCTTGGAATACTCACCTCTAATGATCTAAGTGCTAGAGCCCACTGCAACTACATAGCCAAAAAGGCATTAAGAGTAGTTAACCTAATCCTACGTAGCTTTTTCTCTGGTAATATCACACTACTAACCAGAACATACAAAACATTTGCTAGACCAATACTCGAATACAGTTCATCAGTCTGGAACCCACATTACATATCTGATATTAGCACAATTGAGAAAGTCCAGAAATATTTCACAAGAAGAGTTCTCCACTCCTCTACTCGTTGTAGAATACCTTATGCCACCAGACTTGAAATTCTAGAACTAGAAAACCTTGAATTACGCCGTCTTCGGTCTGATTTAAGCATGGTATATAAAATCATACATTGCAATGTCCTACCTGTCAATGAATACTTCAGCTTCAACCATAACAACACAAGAGCACACAATAGATACAAACTCAAAGTTAACCGCACCAAACTTGATTGCAGGAAATACGACTTCAGCAATAGAGTGGTCAATGTCTGGAATACTCTACCCGACTCTGTAGTTTCTTCCCCAAACCCCAAAAACTTTAACCTTAGACTATCTACTATTGACCTCACCCCTTTCCTAAGAGGTCTGTAGGGGGCGTGCATAAGCGCACCAACATGCCTACCGTCCCTGTCCTATTGTTTCTCTTATTCTTCTTTTATTTTTCTTATATGTACCCATTTCATGTATTCACAACTATGTATACACTTATACTTATTATCTTGTAAACAATTGGCAAATCAAATAAATAAAAATAAATAAAAAATAAAAAAAACTTTTAATTATTCTTTACGAATTCCGTTCCTTCATGGTTAAAAGTATGTTTCAAATTAATTATCTCTGATAAGAACGAGCCTTGCCAAGGTGGTGCAAGGCTGCCATGAACACTAGATAAAGTTACTAAGCGATATTTCAAACACAAAGAGTCTCCAAACACCAACCAAGATATTCCAAATGTCCACAAGGCTTGAGTGCAAAAACTTCTTTGCTTCCTGCAAAGAACTCTGGTTTCTTAGCTGGCTTTTATCTCTTGAGGGAGGGGCCATTACCTTGCAGCCTTACTCCCGAGTCGTCTGTGCTGCTACAGCTGCTCTTTCCTTCAAGCAGCCCTGCGCGCATGTGCACTGGGTACAGGTTCCTTGGGGACTTCTTCATCACTGTTGCCAGCCTCCACAATCTCTGAAGGCAGCATTCCACTCCCTGATGGTCCTAGCCCCATCCCTGCATCACACACAGGCCCCTCATCTGAGTCCTCACTCTCCGAGACCTTAGCCGTTCGCACTTGCTACTGGTGAACCACAACACTACTTGATCCTTTGATTTGTCTCTAGACAGTGGTACAATTCAACTGGTGCAACAACCGGTTTGGTGAGGGCGTGCCTGAACCAGTCCAAACTGGTAAAATCCCACCCCTGTCTCTAGCTCAGTTGTGGCTAACCCTTTTAGGCTGTGCTGAAAATTGTGCGCACGCTCGCGTGCCAGCACCCAGAAGGCAATGCGTGTGGCCCTCCCACACCCCTGCGCATGCACGCCAGATTCCGTGTGCGCCACGTGTCTCTGCACTTGCATGTGCGTCTCCCCCACCACCACCATGCATGTGCGCCAGATACTCGACAATCAGCTGTCAGGTGGGTGGTGCGCATGCATGCACAGTGGGGCTCTTTTGGGCAACCTCTCATGTGCTGGCAGAAGTGGCTCTGTGTGCCACTTCCAGCACGCGTGCCATAGGTTCACCATCACTGCTGTTATTGTTTTGGACCTTCTTTTCTTTACCCCAGACTCTTTTATGTCCAGTTGTGACACTGGTTGGGCATCCCAATGTCAATGGTTAGGATTGACATGTTAAAACTTGTACAGGCAACTATTTACAAGAGTTCCTGCTGGCTCATGAGCTTGTGAATGTCATTTTACTATAATCCCATATCAGATTCTATTACTTCCCCCATGTATAGGTAGTTCTTGATTTACAACAGTTTACTTAGTGACCATTTGAAGTTACAATGGTCCTGAAAAAAGTGACTTATGATCATATTTCACACTTACGAGCATTGCAGCATCCCCATGGTCACATGATTTACATTCAGATCCTAGACAACTGACTCAAATTTATGAGTTGCAGTGCTCCTGGGTCACACACCCTTTTGCGACCTTCTGACAAGCAAAGTCGATGGAGAAACCAGATTGCCTTAACAACCGGATTACTAATTTAACTACTGCAATGATTCATTTAACAAATGTGGCAAGAAAAGTTGTAAAATGGGGCAAAACTCACTTAACTAATTTCTCACTTAGCAACATAAATTATGGGCTCAATTGTGGTCGTTCATTTGTACTATACAGGTTGGACCTGATTCTGACAGAGATTCCAGTGGTAGAAAAAGATTAAAAGTGTGCCAGGTCATTGTCCTAATATGATTGCCTCATCCAGGTCCACATTATGTTTAAAACCACACAGTGGAAAAACATGTTAATATATCATCTAGTTTGCCTCATAGGAGAATAAGTGGAGTGAATTACTTTCAAATAGTCTGGTGGGATTCATTTTTTTTTACTAGTGGTTCTGTGGGCGTAGCAGGGGAAGGATACTGTAAAATCTCCATTCCCTTCCCACTTCCGGGGGAAGGTTACAACCAAACTACTCAAAATATCCGCTACTGGTCAGAACCTGCTGAATACCACTTCTGGTCTGGCTGTTCATCTATATCAGCGATGGCTAACCTTTTTCTCATTGTGTGCCAAAAGTGCATGCGTGCAAGAGCGCACATGCGTGCCTGAACCCATAATGCAATGCATATGCGATCCCTTGTGCTCCCCTCGCCCCCCCAGTGCATGCGCACGTGTCTCCTGCATTTGTCCCCCCCACCACATGCACGGCAAATACCCCCAAATCAGCTGGCTGGTGGGAGGCACACGTGCATGCGCAGTGGAACTGAGCTGGGGCGATGGCTCGCGTGCCCTCAGAGATGGCTCTGCGTGCCACTTCCGGCACGCGTGCCATAGGTTAACCATCACAGATCTATACAGATTGGTCTTTCTAGGAAAGTTAAACAGTGATGAAAAACTGTCCATCCCACTGCAATAATATCCTCATCCTCTATCATGATTGACGCTAACCATCAAAACTCTTAACCATTAGAGATTTGAGCCTAATTAACCAAATTACTACCCTCTA